GTCAGTACTGACCAGGGTTGCCATTCCAAAAAGAATACTTAATAATTCATGACTATAATTGTAAATACACAATCAGTCATGAAAATGTTTGCATCGTGCGAGGCAACCAGTAAGACTGGGTGTTTTTTATGATTGTTATGTATGTATTTAAGTTAAAATATATTAACTTTATTAGGTAGTATTTTATGTGTTGTACTTTTTAAGTACAACACAAGTTATATAATTCTTTAACCCCTAACAGTATTGATAATAATTGCATATGGTTTAATTGCTATTAGAAGATATTATACGGCTTCGGGTTCTATTTTTCGCTCGGAACAAACTTTTGTATTCATGAGTATGATTGTTTGTATCGGTTTGAGGGTGTTCCGGTTGGTCTAAGTACATAGATATTTTATGTTGTAATTTATGTATGTACTACTATGTATGTTTATTTTGTACATAATTTATAAAATGAAATATCTATGTATTTGCATCAGTTGTCTAGTAGCCATAAGATAAGTGCTGTTTAGCTTGAGACTAGATGGCGCTGTATGAATTGTCCAGGCTTATTATTATAATTATGGAATCTTATTGGTTATTAAGTGAAGTCATATTTTGCAGATCTTCGGTGTAGGCCGCAAGAGCAGTACTGAACCGGTGTTCTGTATACGCGTCAACTACACGTATAATGGCGAGGCAGGCTACTTCCACATGTTCCGATCCACGTCTCTGCGTTTCTTTAACAATATGGCTGTCGTCATCAACACCAAGGACGAGATGATTGGTAATATATTTTTATTTTATAATTGTTTCTACTGTAGTATTTATAAATACACAAATATTACTTGTATTTCTGTAATGAATTACTTTACCATACGCAAAAATAAAGCATTATAAAGTTATGACATATATAAAAAGATTTTATGAGATTAGCTTTTGTTAAAAAAATATATGTGAATATTTTATTTTAATTATGACTAAATAATAATATGATAGATATTTTCTCTTTCCCGTAAGTCTGTAAAACATTGAAAATGTTACAAATGTAACAAAAGCACTTTATCAGTATACGTGTATATTGCGGGCGTAGATTGATACGCCCGCAATATACACGTATTTACAGAATTTTATCCTCTAATTTCATTTTTATATGCCCTCTATACATATTGCTTTGTATATCATGCCCTCATAATTTCCGAATGGCAAAAAAGTGAATTGTTATATTTTTATTGAACAGAATCGCTGCATTCGATATGTGAATCAATAGTGGTGGCGCGTGATGTAGCCAAGTTATCACCAATACCGTTCCATGACGGTGTCAAGTTGGAACGCAAGAAGTCAAAGGTATGTATTTTATTAATTTCTAATACTACTTAGCCTTTATAATAGCTGAATGATTTGATCCATTATGTGTACATTGTCATCTGCGTGGATACCTGTGGGCTAATTATGTAACACGATATGAAATTGTTTCTGTTGAAATTGTGATGCAATATAAAATCATTTCGATTTAAAAAATGCGATCAAGTAAGGTCGAATGACCGCAACATAAATCATTTCTATCGATAAAACACTACTATGAAGTTGCAGCGGAATATTGTTAATCCGACCAATTTAAAAAGTCAGTACATTAGATAGCTTATACCTTTAGAGGGATACATTTTAAATTATTGGGTTAATACACTAGTTTGTTGATTTGAAACAATTTTTATTGCGTTCAAAAATTACAAAATATACTGCAGCGTTCACTTGTTCTTTTATTTTAATTTTATTAATAGACATTTAATAAAATAAAATAAAGAAAGTCTATTCTATTCTAATGAAAAAATAAGGTTAATAATTTTGAATATAAAAGCATATTTTATACAAACTATTTATAATCATTAATAATATTAATCTAACCTACAAATTAAATATTCTTTTCTGCTATAGATACCTATGTAAGTACATAGGTATCCATATAAATTTAGAATGATATGGGCACATCTTTTTAAATTTGTACATAATTGTAAAAACTTTAAACAAATAAATTTATTTACTTTAAACAAATCACAGAGCATCATAAACGTTGTATTCCGTTCGCAGAGCACCATATTCATTGAAATAGTTTTTTAATTATATTAATATCATAATCAACCCTAATTTTATATTAAACATTTACTCTAGTTAGTACAACATTCTATGTGATTTGGGACGAAAATAAAATATCGAATTGGCAACACTGATGTCATGTTGTGAGTCGTGACAATTTTCTCATTTTAATAAATTTAAAACCTTTTCACGACTTTCTATGTAATATTTAATATAATAAAAATATATGTAATACTGAAAATTACCAAAACAAGATAAATAATGCTGCTAATGCTGATATTTTAAAGATTGTAACCAAAAGAAACACCTTCTAAATTGTTTCTCATAATGTAAAAACCGTTTCAATTCCACGCTGTCATTTCGGCAAAATAGCGATTACGTGACGTTGCAACGAGGTTACTAAATCGACATTCGATAGAAATAATTTTTATCGATATGTAAAGTTGCGTTTACGTTGCAATGCTAGTTGACAGCGTCAACAATATAATGATGACGTCATTTTCACTACGTTACATACGCAAATCGTTGAGAACGAAGTTAGATAATTAGCCCACTGTACTCGTAATCAATTTCTGCTTCCAAGCAGCTTTCTATGTAAACTGTATTTTAGATCATGTGGCAGTAATATTATAGGGTATAGGCGACACATGAATACGTTTCCGCTGTGTTCTTTAATATGTAATTTTGTAAGTGCAGATGGGAACGATATTCCATTTTCAAGGGTATGGGGATTGTTAGTAATGTAGACTAATAACCCATTGCTAACAAAGTATCATGTCAGACTTCCACGGCTGACTGATCAGTCTTAATGCTCATTTTATCATTCTCCACTTTGTGAGGGTAGATGATGGTCACAACTGCAGATTTCGGATATAGACTGCATTTATTACTGTGGATTATTAATTATATATGTACACTATACACTACAGCATCATACCATTATCAACTATAAAAAGCATTACATTTGTTACGAGTATATACGACCTACTTATTAATTTGTTATTTAATATATTACGAGTAATAGTTTAGTTGTCAAAATTCGTTGTTTGATTGACATTGTGTAAATATATTATAAAAAGAGACAATACATATTCTGCTGTAAACGTATATATTATTTATTAGTAAATTCACCATCTCAACAAAAAAGAACCCCATCACAACATCTGGCGACCGTGACTTAGAAGAAAAATGTTGAGATTAAGAAAATCCAGAACAAATTTACGCCGATTATTCACAAAGACTGGGAACCAGTTATCAGAATTATTAAAGGAACCCATACCAAATACTGCGGAAATAAAGGCGTGTCATTCACTATTTAAAGGTATAGCAGACGAATTATTTAAAGTTGATAAAGATATTTACAATGAATGGTTGAATGACGACGAAACAAATGAAGATGAATTTTACGCAGATTGTGAAACGGCCGATGAATTTTTGATTAAATGGATTACTCTAGATAATATGTATCAAGAATTTATAGAACAGCAGAATAAACATCAACCTGCCTCTCAGTTACCAGTCGTATCACCTGAGAGACAGGATATAAGTCCAAGAACTTCAAGTAGAGATGACAATGAGCAGAGTGTGATCAATTATAAAAGTACGAGAATTTTAAAGAATTCACACGAAGTGAGTGTCAGTAGAGACTCGATGAATAAAGAAAGAGACGAAAGAGTCAAGTTAGCCATGTCAGGGTTTATAGATTATATGAAAGAAGTAACTGAACCGACAATGGAATATATTTCATCAGGTAGGTAGGAGTAAGAAATACGAGGGAGATAAAAAGATAGAAAATTACGTAACGAAACATTCTTTGAAGTATGAAAAGATTACTTACGACTGTAAACAAAAGAAGGAAGAACAAAGACTAGCTACAATTTTGACATCCGATGATTATGAAGAAGTGGAAAATAAGTCAATAATCATTATACAAAGAGAATATTTTCAAGCAAATGACGAGTTTAAGAAATTGAAAAACAAGACTATTTTTACAGACGAAAAAAGTATGATAAGAATGAAAACCAAATTAATACTGAGCCAAAAGGAAAATAGAGATTTTAAATATTTAATAATATTACCATCGCATAGTGTAATTTTATTTCGTCTAGTTCAAAACAAGCATATCAGCTGGAAATTTAAGCCACCGGACCCTACTTGGTGGAGGGGAGGTTGGGTGGAAAGATGGTACGCTTGGTGGGAAAGATGGTACCCCTGGTGGGAAGTGATAGAGAGAGTAGGCAAAATTAAGACAAACTCTCAAAGTATTCAATGCTCATTTACAGTAGGCTACCTGAAGAGCACTTCATGTCTGTGGGAGGATGTTACGAGTATATACGACCTACTTATTAATTTGTTATTTAATATATTACGAGTAATAGTTTAGTTGTCAAAATTCGTTGTTTTATTGACATTGTGTAAATATATTATAAAAAAGAGACAATACATATTCTGCTGTAAACGTATATATTATTTATTAGTAAATTCACCATCTCAACAAAAAAGAACCCCATCACAACATCGTCAGTCTTTAAAAAAAATCCTCTGTCTACCCCATCTGGAATAACAGTTGTGGCGATATATTATCATTAACCAAATCAGATAAAAAATCAATTATTCATGCAGGACCATATAAACGCCATATCAACATTTTTTGTATTAATATTTTTCCCTACCGATTTACCGAGATTACGGTATACAGATTCAATTGAGAAGAACTGGCAAGAACCTCAACTACATTTTTTTAAGCCATTTTTTTATATCATGTTTCTTGTTTTGCTATGTCATATGTCAGCCACAACCGGGCGCTGCTGGTGCGGGTGCACGGTCGTCTCTCTACGTGGACGTGTCGCGGCTGCCATCACTCACCCGGAACGTCAGCGAGACGCAACTCGTGGCGGACATACGCAGCGTTGGTACGTTACATCACAAAAATTATGCTACTACATACAATACAGTACATAATCCTCACTAACATTATAAATGCGAAAGTAACTCTACCTGTCTGTCTGTCGCGCATTCGCGCAAAAACTGCTGAACACTTATTAATTACACTATGTTACACTGTGAGAAACCAGCGCTGTTCCCTTTATACTTCTAGAAATTTAGTGACCCTTTCCCATATTTTATTTGAATTAGCCATATAAGTTTTCTAATTCTACCAACAATATCATATAATAAACTAATTAATATAAATTATACTACTATTAAATTATTCCAATCCTTTACTAAGCCTTAATTCCTATTCTGTCTCCGTCCATTCCTAGACGTACAGCAACGCCAACCAACTGGAACCAGTGCAGTCCTTGATCAAATAGTGTTGCTGGCCAAGGGTGCGCATGCGACGGAGTGTCGGTTCATTCCTGTTAGTTAGTGCGATGCACTGTATCACTCTTAGATAGCATTTCTTGTAAACTTGACTTCGTCTGTATTAAATGAGTTTTAAAATGTAATTGAACTCTGACATGCTAGTAAATGATATCAAATTTTCGTAGATTACAGGTAAGATAATAGACATTATCGCAGATTATCTGTTTTAATTATTTATCTGCTTGTTTATAATATCATCACAAGAATATGCCTAAACGTGGTAAGATATTAACCTAAAAATGATGGTACCCTTTAACAAAATTGGTTCAGCGAATCATGAGATAAAGATTCACCCATAAAAAAAAACGACTATAGCATATAGAAATCCAATAATTTATATAAGAACGGGAAACTAAATTTCTGCGCTGACAAAACAACTAAATATAATCAATAAACTTCTTGACTCTCATACTATTTTTCCTCCTCCGTTCTATAATTCCTGTTTTTAATGTAATGTTTATTATAAATATTAAAATTTCTGTGTTTAAATGAATGTTATAAATTATCAGGATCAAAAGCCCTCAACAACATGACGGAACAGTTCAGCAAACTCAACAAACTGAGCCACTCACTAAACGCCCGAGCACGACCCAGCCTCCAATTAAAATTCGACCAGAGCGCCTCCCGCACCAAGAAGATCTTCACTTTAGGACAAAACAAACCTGATAAAAAAAAGGGCAGCCTGTCTGATGGCTTGAGTTCTGACTATTCATCAGACGATGAAAATAGAACTAACATCTTCGAACCCACTTTAGACAATTTCGAAAACACACAGCACTACATTGGTAAAACGGGACAGAAGAGTGAGACCGACAACGACTGCGATTTAATAGAAAACCCACTGTATTCCTCAAAAATAGAACACGAGAAAGTAGAATTTGTGCCTAGACAATTGCCTATGAACATAGAAAAACAGTCGTTAAAAACTCCGAATCAGATGAACAAAATAAATCCCTTCGACATGGAATTAGAGGTGTTGAGAACGCCTGAAATACAAGTTGAAGGCGAAAGTACAAAGCCACTACCGCCCAGCTCTCTATTACTGTCTCAGAAACTATCACATAGCTCCAACGATGTGAACTATGAAGAGAATCAAACCATCGCAACTGAAGGCGCAAGTTTCCATACACGTTCGAATTCACAGCACGAGATTACGCTAAATATAGCACAATCACACAGTGAGTCAGCGCTCAAGCAGCTTAAAAATATTGCCAGTCCAGTATCCAGTGCTACTAGGGAGATGGTACTCTCGCCGCTATCAAAATTAGCTAAAGGTGTACAATCCTTAGGTGCGAATTTAGATCCGAGGAAGATCAAGGTGAGGAAATCTGTTTTTATATTTTCCTCTTGCATCCGTGCTGTGTATATCAATCAGCTCTCTAGTATGCATAAAACAAGTCGTAATTTGGGACCAAATACTGTCATTGCTTAGATTTATTATTTTTATTCTGAAATTTAAAAACGAAGTAAAGGCTTAAGAAGTCGCTCGATGTTTTCTATCGTAACTTATAATGATATATATTTATATACCTAGATTATGAAAAAATTCATTTGTTTTGTCTATGAGTGCACTATTATATTATAATAATTATTTTAAGACAGTGAATAATATTATAACGTATTTAATTAATCCCATTTTTTTATTCCTTCACAGTCATCTTCAGCTTCAGCTGTGAAGCATGTTAGCGAACAACAATATGAAGAACATAAAAAACTACAGGAAAAATGGCGCGGATGCAATACCCGTCTTGTGGCTTTGTAATATTTGTAATACTTTGTTTCAAATATTTTACCTACCAGGTTAGCAAGAATTTGATGTTATCCATGGCATGTATATTGACGAACCACTCTTAATAATCGGTAAGCTACTTATTCTATTAATTTATACTTTTTTAAGTAATCTTGTATGCACGTTATCAACATTTGTTTAAAATAATAGAATGAGTTGGCTATAATTTATTTTCTTTTCTAAAGAAAGGAGTGTTTTCGTAGTTTATTTTATTATATTATATATTTAATTAACTTATTATGTGACTATTTTGAATATATTTTTATTCATGTTGACGATTCTTAGAGAATTTAATGTTTGTTTCTTGCGAGCCTATCCTATGAGATACCCATTATCAATATGAACTCAATTTTATAGGATACTGCCGTCGTCAAGGCTAGTCGCTTATATTGTCTGGCAGTTAAAATAAAGTTCATGGAATATAGATACATATATGTAAAAAAGAATCCAGTCTTTCTATTTTTAGAATTAGAGCCAGTTACTATGAATGTTATAGTATAATGCTTGAAGTTTTCCAGTTAGGTAGAGGTGGCTTGAACAATTAAATAAAAATTATTGTTGTTTCAATAACTAAAAATAATTTAGTGAAAACTATCAGATATTGTATAATTTTTAGGTTTTTTTATTGTAACCTTTACAACACCTACCTACTTAAAATTCTTCCAGGAATAGATTTTCTTTTAACGTGATTTGTATTGTAAATGTGTTGTTTGCGTTTGCGCGGGATATATTATACTGATATTATAAACTGCCCCTGTTGCGATAGAGTAAATAGAAAAAATAAGGCACGCCTGTTTTGTAGGTGGATGGATTATGGTACTGTCAGTATTCTTTTTTTACATTAGAATAATTGTTATAATATTACAAATATAAAATAATTAAATTAGAATTATGTGTACACAGTTTCGGGCATATAATTATAGAGAAATTATTGTGATTAGAATTTAGATTTATATTATTCATACTTACTCTTAAATTGCACACTGTCGCAAAAATATATATCGTGTATTGAAGACTATTAGAAACATTCCATTATAGAATATTGTCTATTTTCAATTTTTTTTTATTATATTCATATATTTATAAAGGAGTCGTGTCCCAGTTATTGATTGACTTTAAAAAATAGAATTGCAATTCCTTTTATGATTGTACATAGTGTATGGATATTCTTTGCCGATTTGTGTAATTTACAATTTGGAGAACAAGTAATCGTTTAAGTATACGCGGTCAAGGGCGAGTTGTAAGTTTGTTTTAAACCGCCAAAAATGTCATAACTCATATGTTGCGTTGATTTTTTTTATATAGATGTTATACAATACCTTAATACAGATATTGAATGAGTTTTCAAAAGACAAATACAGCAAGTGGTAATGAGAAACTCAAAACAATTCCAAAATAGATCCTCTATTTTGTAATTGTTTTGAATTTCTCGTTCCTCATTCCGTTTCCAAACCTTGTACCTGTATGAACTGTAATATTAATTAAGCACTTTTACAAAAATCCTCATTCAGTTTATGTTAATATGTATATTATAATAATAAATTTTGATTATGTGTACGTAGTCTTCCATGTAATTCTAGTAACACGTAATAGTACATATTTATCTTTTAATATGTATGTAGTTTAGTTATACATTATGCAAAATTATAAACACCAAATTGTCGCGATACAAATAGACTTGTATCCGAATTTATTCCAAATGATGATGATGGCAAAATGAAATAAAAGCTTTGTAGCTACATTTAGCTGAAACGTAAGTAGATACCTAAAATTATTAAAAATTAATATGATATGTATTGTTAATAAAAAGTTTAGCTTAATGTTCAAAATTTTTTATATAAAAGAAGACGAAGAGTTACAATATAAAAGACTTCTTTAACACAAAGTTAGTATTGAGTATCTGTTGAAATGCTAATTTCGCATGATATCACTTTTGTATTTAATCATGAAAGTCAATGCAAACCTATGTGTACCATGTTTTTGAAAATTAATATTAATATGAAGCTTTTAACCATAAACAGTGATTTCTAGACTCCATGGTCCCGAGGTTTAAACCCCTAGCGGTGCCATTAGAATAAAGTCGTATCCGTTAGGCAGGAATAGGCAGGTTTCGAGTGCCATTCGTACTCGCCCCCTATCATACGCTGAAGCTGTAAATGCCAGCTGTAGCCAATAGCATTAGAGTAGTGCGACAAAAAAAACCTTCATCGTAACGTATACGCAAATAGATAATAATCCACACCGCTGTATTTATAGCTCCATGCCGCCTATGCGTTGTACACTCTTAATAAGAATTATCTGTTCTATGAACGTACAGCTTACGGCTATAAATCACGTAACAAAATTTATTAGTATTATAAGATGTATAGTAATTATACAAAAGTTGCCGAACTTTTGTACCCACATTTCTTTATTATGCGTACGTCCCGCAAATATTAGCAAATGTACTGAATGTAAGTGTCCAATATTTTACATATATGTTTTCTGTCACAAAGTTCGATTAAGTAATCAATATAATATGTGTTGGTTAATATTATCATAAATATACAGTATTATTAATATTTACATATTGAAGAAATTGTATTATTAAATTATACTCCAGTTATTATTATTTATGAAACGTAATAATAATGTAAATTATATATTAAAACTGATTATGTCGGTATTAGGTCTTATTAAATAAAATACATTATGATAAATGTTAACTTCTTTATTGCCAACAACAGTCTGCACTAGATATATATAGAAATATTTCGAAGCTTTACAAGTAATCGAGTTTTTTATAGATTTTATCAGTCTTTGTATTCCAATTTCACTAAATCCTTTTGAAAAACATGACTACTGCTATTGGGAACAATACATAAAAAATAAAGTTAGTTAAAATTAGTCATACTTATTGGTGATATTCTGCGTTCTGAATTGAGTTTTTTTATATTTCTGGTCTGGCTGCAATCATATCTGTAAAAATGAGTAAACTTTGCAACGCACTGGAGAATGTATAAAAAACAATGTATTACTCTATATTCTAATTTCATGAGTATTTTATATATAGTAGATGTATAAGATTTATAGAAAATATCTCATAATATTCTTCACTCGATTTATTGAAATGGAATGTATTAAAAGTGCACGTAATTAATTTATATACTGAATATAACTGTAAACTTCATTTCAGTTCACTAAATAATATCATGATCAAAGTCAAGTCAACAGATAAAACCAATGATCAATTTAAAATAAGGCCTAGAAATTCCAGAAGTTATACACACTATTTCTACATCTAAAACGTTTTAGGCTTCAGTATAAATTAGACAAAATTTTGCTTTTAATTGTTAAGGTTAGAATTTGTTAATTACGAAAATAGAAAAATAATGCACCAAATTGTAATATTTTATATTGATGTTGTATTTAAAATGTACGATACGTTCATAAGTTGCTTCCTTGTATATACAATTTGAGAGACAAATAGAAAAGAACAGTATTTAATCCACGTAGGTATATTTATTCACAGCGCCATCTATGGGCCTGTTTCGTTTCTCTCTATAAAGTATTGAATATTGAAGATCCTGATGACCGCCCCGTCGCATCGCGTGTGAATAAAGACGAATTACATATGTATGTTCTGTAACTGTTACGAAAAGTTCTGTAATTTTTATAACCATTTTACCTTTTTTTATGTAAGAGTAAAACTTAAAACTTTTAAAAAAATTAAATAAATAAAATGGAAAATATAAGTATTTATTGCACACGATGACGCGGCGTACTGCTCTCTGTTTGTTATATAATTTACTTCTTGTAGTAAAAACTTAGTAAAAATGATAAAAGAAACGTATATCGTGGTGGTGACTAAAACTTTGTTTAAGGACCATCGCGATGTACTTTTCTTAGCAATTAAATACCGGTAGTTAATTCTACTGTCTATTTATAAATTAACGGAAAATTAACATACAAGTAACTATGGCAAGTAGAAAGAAGGAAGTAGTCACTACCAAATCCCATAATTTCAATTATTCTCCACTAGCATAAATCAGCATTCCGGCAGTATGTTTTCTAACTGCGTTTATATGAGAACCAAAGACCCGTAGACAATTTAGTATCTATTTAACTTTCCCGAGGGTATTCATGTAGTGAAGTAAAAAATATAATTTGTAATACAAATGCTTTGTAATTAATCTATTTTTTTTATACCAATTTTGTACACTATTTTTATCTTTACCTAACAATATCAAATCTACAATTATATGAATATTATTTAATATCTTAATATGACCTGCTACATCGATTTTACTTAAAATATAAATTTAATTTAAAATAGTCTAAATGCTGTTACCTCTACAAAAAAATGCTGTTAAATTAGTTATATACTAAATTATACGTACTAACTAAATTGATAATGCTGAGTAAAATTATAGTTATTGTAGGAAAACATAATATAAATAGTGAAGAGGCGTTTTATTACATTGTCTGCCTGAGTGTAATGCTAGTAATGTCTGTGTAGATGTAGAGGGAAGAGGTTAAACTTAGAAATATAGCTAACATAGTTTGTTAAATTAAAATACGATAACCAAAATCTTTAATTTTAGATACACTTTTTAATTTATTTCTGTGACGTGAACATTGTTTTAAATATAATTTATCCTGTATAAAATATTTGACTTATACTATAACCTCTCTACTTGAAGTGTGAAACGCTTGTTTTATTAGGTACAGTTATATCCGCCTATGTACCTATCTTGCTAAGTTTTGATAAACCCTACATGAGACAGTCCAGTTATAAAAATCTGTCTGATATTATTATCGAATCTTGTAGAAATTATTAAAGAATTCAATTCTTTTCTGTGATGATTATAACACAATAGATGTACCTATTGTTTTTTTTAACTATTTATTTTATAGATTAAATTGCTTTTGAGAACAGTTTGTTTAATTTTGATACCTTCCTTACTTTTTTGTTTAGCTACAGAACATTTAAGAACCTGGATTTACATTGGAATTAGATAGTATTTCATTTATGAATGTAAATAATTTGTGAATTATCCAAGGTTATTATTATTTATTCTGGAAATAAACTAACATATACTACACTAGTGGCATCAGTGATAAATTGCTCCAGTAATGTCTGCTTTGTGACTTGCTAAAATGCTCAGTTATTTAGGGACAGCGATTGTTTTAAAAACATATATATTTAAATATATTCTGATCAAAATCTCATAAAACAATTGAAAAATAAAAAAAAACAACATAAATGTATGTGGTATCTGTTATTGACTTTACTAAGCATGAAATGGTATAATAATACAGGCATTGTTTCAGAATAGACAGCGCTATATGAAATGTCCACATATATTAGTAAATTGAGAAATAATAAATTCGATTATTTTCGAGTATGTAGTTTTAATATAAACTATAGAAATGCGATATCGACCGTCAGTAAAAAAATTACGCAGACTAATCAACAAAAATAAAACACACAGATAATAATAATAATATTTCAGGACAACTCAAATAACAGTGCCATCCTAGATGGATAATATTATTCTAGGACATTGTAAATTCAATGCACATTTACACCGAAAGATCATTAATTCTCCAGAGTCTTTTATGGATAGTAACGAAAATCAAACATTAGAACATAAATTTTTTGATTGCCCGGCCTTCATTTAAACATTTTGCTTTGCTAAGCTTCAAATATATAAGATTATTCCGATCGCTAAAGAATTATTCAAATGCACTGCAATTTTAAACCAATTTACGACTTCATCATAGCAACAATCGGAGAATTATAAAAATTTCAATTATGGACACATACATGGACTTAACACAAACTTATAATTAATGAAAATTTGGCATGAGTTATTTTTTAATTTCATGGATATACTGAAGATTAGGCTGTATGGTCTCGTATTTGCCTATCCACTTGTGGATAAAATATACCACTACTACTACTAATATTATTCTAGTCCGGCTCGAAGGCTGTACCAAGATAACCAGAGCTTGTGGTATGGATAGGTAGTAGACAACTGATATAAATACATACAGTGGGTTGCCAAATTAATAGGGACAGTCACATTTTTTATAATTTTTGTTCTTCAAGTGGTCTTGACTACGTTTTTAAGTGTGAAGATTTTTGCTGATATGTTTTTATGTTCACCTTGTCTCTATAACTCAAATTCAAAGTGAATTTCAAGTGCTGAGAGATTTGTTTATTTTGGATATATTTTAATGACAGAGAGACACACAGTCGTTCACACCTGTAAAAGTGAAACACGTAAATTATTCTTTTAAACAGTTATTTAGTGGTTTTGTGAAATAATCAATACCAGCAAGTAAGTAATATTTTACTATAATTAAAATTAAAGTATTTTGGAGCGGATTTTAGAACAATTTTAATTTATTATTATATTTTCAGCTTTGGCTATGGGTCGAGGGGTAGATTTGACTCCGAGAAAAAAATCCGAGGTTAAAAACCCTTCTCCTACACACAAATCACTCTCAGTGATAGCACAACTGGCCGGGATATCGAAATCTGCCGTCATAAAATAAAAATAAATTTAGATCAAAATCACAAGCCCATAAAGAAAAGGCAAATGTGGCAGAAAACGTATCACAACAACACGTTCCGATAGGAAATTTATCTGCTTGCAATACAGAAAGAAAAGTGCTGGATTTTTAACTCAGATAGTACAGGAATCTGGAATACGTGTTTCAAAAAGAACTGTACAGAGTTGGCAGACCTGATAGGGTCCATAAGAAACCCGATTAACAGAGGCGATGAAAAAGAAAAGGCTTGCTTATCGTGAGCACCGCCTGAAAACTGTTGAAGACTGGAATAAGGTCAGATGGTTAATTTTATTTGTGTTATATAAAATCATATTTACAAAAATTATAAATAGTTTCTATATTTTTTTAGGTATGTTTCTCAGAGGAGTCAACTTTGTAAATTCTGTTATAAAAGTAACTTCGTGAAGCGGCGCAATAGAAATTTCATCCTGATTACATAGTGGAACGAATTAAACACCCTGTAAACAAACTAAATATGCATCACAGAATTGGGCGCCTTTAAAAATGATCTTCATGATGAAATGTTTTATTCATTGACAGGTTCCCGTGAAACTATTAATGTGCAAAAGTATCATAAAGCGCATAAATGAAAATTCTGTTGATGAGATTTTAACAGAACAGGTTGACTGCAGTATTAATGAAACAGAAAATAAAGATGAAAATGAAGATGTAATCATGATCATAGTTCCTGATAATAAAGAAAAAACATGTAAATAAGAAACCGAAATTAAAAAATGACAAAATATAATAATTTCCCATCAATTTGTAAATGGAATTTTCTACTAAACAATATTGTTAAATTCATTATGATTTAAAAAATATAATTACAAAAGAAATTAATTGTCCAATATTTTACAAAAAGAAAATTAAATTTGCAAACTTACCTCAAACATCATATGAAGATATAAATTATACTAAAATACAAAGTCTTTCAACTGGAGATACAGGAGGGGCTAACCATTTAGCACGGAGAAACATATGTTGATATATATAATTTTATTACCCTGAATCAAACAAACAACTTTGTTTTCTAGATGACAAAGATTTTCGGAAAATATACAAAAATCGATTAACAACATCAGTAATCTGTTTCATGTCATTCAATGACACATACTAATGATTTAAAATATAAATGTATGTTTTGTCCTTACAAAAGCTTGCATCAGGCTTTGCTTAAAATTCATGTTCGTACGCATACTGGAGATTATAACTATAAATGTCCAAAATGTCCAGCTAAATTTATTACCAAAAGCAATTTAAGCATACATTTGAAAAGACATAGAGGACCGATTGACTTCAAATGTGATAAATGTCCTAGAGGTTTTTATTCCAAACTGGGATTAGAAAGACATCATAAAGTGGACCATTTGGGTATTAAAAATCATATTTGTAATATTTGTGGCTTAGCTTTTGGATACAGAAATGGTATGATGAATCATCAGTTGAAAGTACATAAACGTGAAAAGTTGACTAAAGGAAAAGGTAGACTACCTAATTATTTAATAGCTGAATTTCAAGAGGATCAGTTATGATCAAATATATATTTTTCCTAATTACAAACATATATTTCTTCATCATAGTTATCTCAGATGGGATAGTCAGAGCCATTATCAAATTATATTAATTTAAGGTTTTAACAACACTTGACATTTCAACATTTATCTGAAAATGTTTAATACATTACAAGACAGATATCTGCAAATTCAGTAACTAACAAAAGTTATGTTATTAAACCCATGCTAACAGTGAGAAATTAATTCGGATATTGTAAAATATATGTGTCCATCAATTATAAAAGGAATAAATGTAATTAACAAAAGTAAGTTTTTTTAATAATCATAATAATAAGCTGACAGCAGGCCCCTACTGGAGAAGAGCAGCCCAAAATAGAGTACACTGGAAGGAATTAGAGGTGGCTTAGCTTTTGGATAAGGCACTCTGTACTGCGGGATATAATATAGAAAATGGAACTACTAATAATTAAACATTAGAAAAAAAAAATATATTTTTCCTAATTACCAACTACTTTCAACAAAAAATAATAGTAAAAAAATTATATATAATAATAATAAATTTATAAAATGTATAATATAGTAATATGAATGAACAACAAAAGTATAAAAAAAAAAAATTATGTACAGAAATATATGTGTCCATCAATTTATCTTTATCTTTATCTTAATAATACAGCAATCTCTCAATATTTTTAATATATTAATATTAAACTACATAATGGAACCATGTAATATGTATGACCTTATTTTTCTGATAGTAACTGATCGTCAACCATCGTCAATAACCGTTCACTTACAGGTGTCCCATAAATAATATAAATTATTTATGGGACACCTGTAAGTGAACGGTTATTACCTCAAGGGGATTCTTGGTTTAGTGGTGATCTAACAGACATAAAATGATTACCATCTTGTTTTTTATTTTCTGCTTCTAAATATGAGGGCATTCTGCCAAAGAGCAACTTTTCTCTTTTATGCACATGTCTCTGATGTTTCATCATTGCATTTCTATATCCAAATGCCTTACCACACATATTGCAAACATGATTCTTTATTCCTAAATGGTCAGCTTCAAAATGTCTCTGCAACATGAGCTTTGTATGAAAGCCCCTTTTACAGGCATCACATTTATACTGTGGCTCTTTATGTTTTAACATGTGACTATTAAGGTTGCTTTTAAATAAAAATCTGGCAGGACATTCAGTACACATGTATCGATAATCTCCAGTGTGTGTCCTCATATGTGTTTTTAACAATTCTGCATAACGTCCTTTATATGGACAAAATGTACATTTATATGGAAAATCATTCCTGTGCCTTAAGCTATGATTGTGATATGCACAACGTAATCTAAATGACTTCCCACAAACATCACAAACATATTTCTTGTGATCTGGATCATGCATTGTAATATGCTCTTTATAATATGACCGATTTATAATCTTGTGACAGATATGACACGTAACTTTAAGTGTATGTTTACTTTTCTCTTTCTTTTCCTCTATTTTAACACTTTCATCTTCAAGTTTAGATTCATTTAACCATTTCTGAGTAGCTGGATTATCATATGTTATACAGTCAGTGTTATCGAAATCGGAATCTAAAGTACTATCCAAGATTTCTGCTACATCAGTTTCTTCTTTAACTTGTTTTCGTAGTAATTCGTCCGAACGTTTGGCTGTACTTCTGAACAACATAGCAGCTTTAATAAATTCAAAACAAGTATCACATAGTAATTTTGGATATTCATCATCGTCATTAATTACAATATCACCAAAATATTGCAAAGCCGCAACAGCGTCAGAATTTTCATTATATATAGATATTGTACCATTTTCAAGGCAAACTCTGCATTTTGTATGTAGGTCAACTTTTGTTTTTATAGATTTTTTCGCCAAATCCAAATAGTAATTATGTACGTTTGGTTTTTTGTTTTTTAACATTCGCAACAAATAGTATGATGTAGTCATTATTGTTAGATTGGTTTAGAAATTTATTACCTTTTTCTATTTAGGTATGAACCTATGAACTAAAACTCGTACATCACCTATTATTAAATATTTACAATAGTTTATTTAGTATCTAGTAAACTAAGGACTTCAAAAGCATTAAGGCAATTTAGAATTCAATGTAGGTAATTATAAAATAAAAAAGGAATAGTAGATATCAGTTGAGATAAATCCTCCTTGGATCTACTCATTAAGAGTACAACACCTTTTTTTTATTCGATAATTATTTAATTTTGTATTGATTTTCAGAAAAATTTATTTACTAAATACTAGTTCTTTCTATGTTTTTTTCTCAGACACTAAACTGACAGCGTAATGTCAAATTTTCTTCTTTATGGCTTGCCTTTCCCTATAAAGGGAAAAACTGAACCAAAAAAAAATTTTTATGGCTTGGCTCGTCTGTGCATGTCAAATTTTCAAACACAACAAAATACGAAATTTCAGAACACAGAGTACTGTCGATAAAAAAGATATTTTATCATCATTTAATACCATCGATCTTCAATAAGATCTAAATTAACATAATTTACCAATTTGTCCATAATAGCGGTTTTCTTTGTAAATAATTTCCCATTGAAAATGTCATTTATAATTTGTCTGATCCGTGTTTATGGGTTGTCTGTGGTTGGAATGAATTAAAAAAATAATACAGAAAACGATATTTACTGTATAAAAAAATCTTTACTTCTAATTTCTATTACATCTATATATATATATGGCGAGCGCATATTTCATCATGAAAATAATACGACGTAAACGCCAAAAAGCATTGAGAAAACAATTATCTACAATTAAAATTGACAAAGAATTTGAATTAAACAAAAATAAAGATTTTCAGAAGTGTAGGATATGTTTAAATAAAGGTAACATTCCTATTTTTTCGTCTCAAGAAGACATTTCTCAGGATATACGTATATTTGGTGATATAGACATAAGTGAATATGATGAGTATCCTAAATATTTATGCAATTCTTGCCATTCTTTATTACAAGGCGCTATAATCTTTCGAAAGTCTGCTAAAGACTCTGATAGATTTCTACGTAACTCGTCTAACTTTTCTGATGAACAATCAAGTAACACATTCTTGGGAGATGAAAATGGAGCTAAAGACATAATTAATGAACTTTCCCCCGATTCTTATAACTGTAAAACTTGTAATATTAAGTATTCCACTAAAGAAGAGTATTTACTACATAAAAATTCGAAACAGCATAGAAATGTTCGAATCCAGTGTTCAATATGTTACAGATTGCTAACTGTCCAATTATACAATAAACATTTAGAACGACATCAATCAGCTTCACATCTCATCTGTGAAGTGTGTGGAAAACTTTATCGCAAGGACAACTTGTTTAGGCACCTCCAGTTGCACAGTTTTGATTTGCCATTTAAATGTCAAATGTGCCCATACAGGGGCCGATTTTTAGAATCGCTCAAGATTCATATGCGGACTCATACAGGAGACAAGCCCTTTTCATGTGACAAATGTGAATTGAGATTTTTAACTAGAAGCAATTTGAACAGGCATCTATTAACTCATAAAAAAGATAGACCTTATAAATGTATGGAGTGTGGAAGAGGATTTTATACAAAGCATGATATGGGTGCCCATTTCAAATCTGATCATGCTGGAATTAAGGACTTTGGATGTAAACTGTGTGGCAATAAGTATGGAACACGAAAAGCACTTATGAGACATGAGTTGAGAGTCCACAAAAGGGATAAGATGGCCAAGGGAAGGATGCCATTGTATTTACAGGCAGAATATAGAAAGCCCCATGAATCTTTATGAATCATAGTATCTCATTTATATTGGAAAAATATTCTAGTCAATTTATAAATGATTCAAACTGTTAATATATTTTATTCCACAACAAAAAGGTACACTTCAATACAATTTTTAATGTGTAAACATGAACATCTAATAATATCAAAGCAGTTCTTGTACATATATATTTAAATGTATACAAACATCTCAAACAGTGCTAATGCTAAGTAAAATTGTTTTACCTAAACAATACAATGAATCGAGGGTCCAGGAAATCATGAATAACATATCAATATTAAAGAGGCCCACATTGTGATCACACAATTATATGAGTGTACTGTACTTCAAATGTTTGTTTTAACATTAGACTTTTATTAATAGAACTTTCGTTTTTCATAAGCATGATCTTGAAAAACAAATGAAAACAATTTATCCTTAATTATGATGAGTTTTCTATAGTTACTTTAAAATAATAATAAAAATATAGTGTTGGTATAAAAATCAAACTCTACATTGACTTACTATAGTGAAAAATAAATATCAATGTATCTGTAACAATAAAATTGTAACAATTATCAGAAACATACATGTTTAATTAATTTAATCTGAAAGAGGTATGGAAGTTGTTATGGTACCCCAAGATAGTAATTTTATATTGTTGTACATCTATGGTTATTGGGCATCTTGGATATTGGATGTGATAATTTAAATATCTAAGTATGAGTAGTCAATATTATATTCATGAATATTAAGTATTTGTCTACTTAGAATATATACATAATGGACTAGAATTTTTAACTATAAATAAAGTATGTACTTATAAAAATGAAGATCTTATTTTAATGGACTAGAAAAGTTTTCCTTAACTGGGTAGCTTGGCAATTACATTATCAGTGTTCATCAAATGTTATTTTCAGTTTTATCAAAATACATAAATTATGTTTTATCTTACACTAGGTACTATACTTAGTTACTACTAAATCTTCTAGATAAATTTATAAGCAATCAAAATAACTTAGCAACAACAATATACTGCAGTCCTATACATAATAGTTAAATAATTTTTGGTGTTAAAAATATAAATTTCTACTGCACAATGGAAGATTTGACTTGATAGTGATTATATACTATAAACATCTAAATAAAGGCCACTTTATCACTTTAGTTACACATATATATGGGATTTATAAACTTTTTATCAAATTTCTGAAAATATCATCACAGATGAATGTATCAGGAAAAACTATGTCAATGAATAAGTATTATTTTAAATATGAAGTAATAATATTACATAAATGATGTTCTCACAAAAATATCGAGTGTCTGCTGCTGCTCTATTTAATTTTAAACTTAAACCTAGAGACTTGTATTATAGTATTACAAGAGTAATATTTTAGTTTATATATTATAATAAAATTGCAGTATAACTGCATTTCAAAAATATGTAAACATATTAATAAAATTTTAGTAGCACAACATCAATATATAAACCACACTATACATTCATAAAGTAGGTATATAATATATTTATTTAAAACCAGTGTCACACAAAAACAATGTCATAAAATTTTCTATTAATTTATTGCCTTTAAAATATTTTATGGAAATCCTGGCCAGGTACACATTTTATATTCTATGTAAAAGTATATTATTGGTATGCAACTACTATTTGGAAAGAAAGTTAAATATTTTACAACTGAATATATTAAAATATGTTCACTTGTAAACCCTGTAAGGATTTTATTTGTGCACCTACTGAATAAAGAAGGGCTAAAACCAAGACTAATGGACTAACCCAGAAATTTCAACTTATTTAGTTAGAAAATAAACAGTCTGTTATATTCATCTCCAGAAGCAGATTTATAAACTTAAAGTAAAAAAATATTGACTAGGTTGTAAGCAGCATGAGACTTTAAAGTACAGATAACTAAATTTGAGCTATTGAATAAACTGGCATTCAAAATATCATAACTTATGACATGCCAAAGTGCACTTATCAAATTTATACAAAAAAATGTTTGATATAAGTTAAACATCCATAAACATAACATTCATAATTATTGTAATATTCTTAAAAATTTAGATAGAACTAATTTTTAAGAATATTCTTAAAAATTTAGATAGAACTAATTTTTAAGAATATTACGATAATAACGAAACAGACAGTATTCCTGCAATAGGCATGCATTAAAGCTGTAATATAAAACAAATTCTATGTAATATAAAATATTTTTGTAGGCAAGTAAATAAATGCAATAGCAGCAATTACTGCTCATTGGACATACATAAAAGTGACAGTTTTTTTAAAATAAAACATTAAAATTAGATCTTTTAAAACTTATTATCTAAAAAATAAATATAATAAATAGTTTATTAATTGAAGAGTAAATCTGAATTTTATGATGGCCTGATTTTATTTTTACATGAATATGTAATACCTATATATTGGTATATATCAATCATAAGATGGCCCTCTGCACATAGTGACAACAAACATTGATGCAAATGTGAACTCCAACATTTGCAATGACAGCATCAGTGTGCACCAAATGTATTCTATTCTTAGGACCACTACTTGCCATATCAGTAGGTACAGCACACCAACGATAGAAGGAACTGTTAGCAGCACTGAGAACATTACTGGTACATCTATAACATAATAAAATAAATTAAATATTTAGAAACACAGGTGACCAAAAAATTAAAGTAAAAAACAATGGAGAAAAGAACAATACAAGTTAAAATAATGCTACATTCCTGCCTACTTGTATATTTTTGGTCGAATTAGTACAACTTTGTAAGTTATGTGAATAATTACTAAATAAAGTTAATTTCAATATTCACTATCTAGTCTAGATATAAAAGCAAAACCTCGCCTACCTCTTTCGCTAAGACTGCCCTTACGACCTAGTATGAGTCTAGCGGCTTCCACAATAAAGAGTCCCAATAACACGCCATAATCCTGACCTAATTTTGTGGGATCCTTGTCTACATCATACTTTTCTATGATCAATACGGATTTCAGAATTAATGTACCAAGTTCACAAGTAGCAAATAGACCGAAATAAAACGAATTTATATAAAGTAATATTTCGTAAGCTAGGCTTGCGTTTACCATTTTAACACTAAAGGCTAAACAAAATGTGCTAATTTAACAAAACAAAAGAAAAGGTCAAATTAAAGGTTTAATATAGATAACGATAAAAAGTAATTTTAAAAATAGATAATTGACATTTATTGTTTTACAGTTCACATAGAGTAGTTCACAGATCTGTAAAAAAGAGGTAGTATGACGTCTGACATTGAAATTGATCTTAACACTGAATTTTTTTTTGAGTCAGTCTGTGCTGTTAAAAGGCGAACACAGACTACCAAAGACTTAGGTGTCAGATGGTAAGACGGAGATGCCAGATTAGATTTAACACCAAAAGTTTAGGGTATATATTTGAGAAAAGATCGAAGGCGAATCAATTTTTAATCTTTGAGAATTCTGTGGTTGTCTTCATTTGCAGCAATAACCTTATTGAAATTACTCTGGTAAATCTATTTCCTAATTCCTAGTATATACATCATGATATGCTAACTGATTTTATTATCTTCATAACAATCTATACATACTGATATTCCAGCCGCCAGTCAGTGTATACCGTTGGCTCAGACATATGCACTAATTAATTTTTCCGACAAGAAAAATATATATTGGATTTTATTAAATAATAGTACTTATTTAACTGTAAGTACAAACTTTATCTCGCTTTAATATTAAGTCAATATCAATAACATTTGCCGTTTGTACCTTGGTTATCAATAATTGGGGGAATAGTCACACAATTTTCTGGCAACACAAATCCTAAGTATGTATAAATATCTGACCAAGCCATAAACGTATAAAAAAAAATTAAGTACCTAACGATACAAAATACAAATAGGTCGCTTCTATTAGTCGACTTACACGTGTTTCTTTTTATTAAACATTCTTACATTTTAATGGTCTTTTTATAAATGAAATAAATTGCTGAAATATCCAATTAATAAATTCTATCGGACGTCACATTTGGTGCCAACAAAATTATGAATTGGTAAGTGCCTTACCCATAGCGAGTTAACGATCATACGGCTAATTTCTTACTTTCACACAATTTATTATAAGTTTTAGGGGTCTACTGTAGAAATCGTATGTTTTAAATAATCATTAGTTGCAAATACGTGTCTATCTCACATATTTTGTAGTTAGGACAGGAAGTCGACAGAGGTTGTACCAGTTCATTTTGCTATCACTGGCCAGAGGCATTTTTTACAAAATCGTTAGAGTTGATTGGTATGCGTTTAAAGTGACACGATTCATATTATAATTTATAAGGAGTAACAATTTATTTAGTTATAAAATCAAATACAATAGTGAAAAGTTCATTGACTTGCTTACTCCAATAATCACATGTCATATTTGTTATTGTATAACTTAAGTCCTAACCTGGTAAAATAATTTAATCGCTACCTATAAGCCTTCTCCTGATATCTTGCCTTATAATATTTTATGCTATGATCAGTGTGATTCCTGTTATAATTATAAAAGTTATAATTACATGAAATATCACTAGATAATTTTAGAATATAATGTGTTTATTTATCCTTCACATAAAATACCTATAATATGTATAAGTTATTAGTTTGAATCACACAATTAAATCCAGTTACCTTTTACCATTTTTATTCATTTGTATTGTAAGCCATACCAATTTTTTGTCTTATTGGATTCACACTTTGTAAGTCATCAAGATAATAATTATGAAATAAAATATATTTTCCATACAAAACCATTGCTGCTATGGGTTGTTCTAATTTGAAATTAATCAAATATAACACCAATTTTAAATTAAGTTTATGTTAAGTAAATTTTAAACTAATTGTTCTAAAATATATCAAAAGTAAATTCATCCATAGTTTACCATTTCACTTTACTGATATTTAACTTGCTTACATTTTGACTAACTTATATTATATACTGTTTTAAACTTGACGCTGTCATTATTTATATGTATAATTAGTAAAAATTGAAATATCGGGAACTCAGCAAATAAATATAAAATGTGGTAAGATCCCGTGATTTTTACTAATTATATGTATAACTTATATTATGTTTAATGTGGTTAAGCATTTTTAAAAGCTCACTTAGCATCATTTACTATTGTATTTTTTAAATGATGGTGGGTATTGTAATAGTACTCTTTTCTTAGGTAGAGCTCAGTTTAAAGAAATGTAATATCTATCTTTTATATTACAAGCAGTTATTATTATGCAATGACATGTCTCATACACATCCTGGTTTTTATTATATGGTGTATGTTATTAATCAGTATGAGGCATTATATTTTTGTCTCTATACAATTGTATTTACATGATAATGTCATATGTTTTGCATCATTATTTCTTATTGCAACAATTTTTTTTATTTATCTGTCTGAATGGCAAATGAGCTGATGTCACACTTCATGAAAAGATGGACAAGTCCATGGTTTTTTCAATAAGGCAATATTAATGTTTCTTAAGGGTTGGAAACCCACATGTGACAGACTTGGTGTTTTAGGTGTCCATTGGCTAGGGCAACTGTTTACCATCAGATGCCACCAATGTGATATAAAATAAGTCATGTACTCTTAGAACGCCTGTGCCTTTCTATTCTTGGCTATTATGGAGTCATGCCTCCATATACTGTGGTTACACTGTTATATTTTACCATTTGCTGAAACCATAGCTTACACAAGCTGCTTGGCAGCAGAAAAGACAAAACAGGGCATGGTTTTCAAAGTCTAAAATAGTTTTAAACTATTTAGAGATAAACATGAAATGCCAAAGATGCAATAAATAACTACTGTCTTGTCTCACTGTTCTTGGTTTCTCAAAATTTCTGGAATAAAATTGTTAACAAAAATTAAGTACCTTGAGTGGAGTTGCAAGCTCACCAATGTAAAATTTTACTTTTGTCTGCATAAATCCTTCGAAGACGCCATAATCTGTCTTACAAACAGCGTCAGTTTCTATCGATCGATATTTCTTGATATGACCAATGCATATGTTTGAACAAATTTTTTGTAAAACTAAGGCAAAAAAGTATGTACTCTTTTTGTTCCTTTTATTAATTATGATATATATTAACAAGTTTGTTTTTCAATATCGATTTTCATATTCTGGATCCTGATTCTGGACAAGACCTGTCAAGTATAGAATTTAGTGATAATTACAATATATGTATAGGTAGAATAACTTGTTTATGAAATAAAAATAAAAAATATTGTTATTATTATTTAGTAATAATTAAGGTTTACACTAACACTATTACAATACAGTAAATTACAGGCACCAATACATAGTTGATGCTAGTCTAAAATTGTTTAAATACTCTAATCAGTATGAAGTCGCGGGTTGTGTTCTAGGTTTCATATTACAGATGACACCGTAATAAAGTAGATGGAAAATAAATTTACAGCGGCAATAAACCTTATTAGTCGAGTCCAGTCATGGAATGTGATTGAATTATCAAAGCATTAGCGTGTAAGTGCACAATCAGTTCACAACCGCGGGACGTCCATTGCTCTAATTTAATCAACGTATAGGATTACCGTACATTTTGTTAAAATAAGACTATTCGTATTTATTATTATTGGAATTATCAGCTAAATTCATACTGTTTCTATAGATCGTTTTTATTTTATAACTAGCTCCTCGCCCTGGCTTCGCCCAAGTGTACATGTATTATAGTATATATATATATATATAAACCTTCCTCTAGAATCACTTTATCTATTAAAAAAACACTTCAAAATCCGTTAATACAGACAGCGACAGCGACTTTAATGTATACTATGTAATTATGAAATGTAAAAATCAGATTTACTTCCAGTAAAATAATAGAAGCTAGTATACGTCTTTTAATTCTTTGTCAAAAAAATAATGCAATATTACAAGCGAAAACGGATTTTATTATAAAGAAGTATTCATTACTGAGAGATATTTTTTAAGGGATGATAATAAAATGGTGCTCCCGTCTGCAGTGGTGTGATACGCTGGTGGGGCATCATTGCAGAATAAATTATATTCATGATACCAGTTCAGTCAGTTTCAGTCGTCAGAGACGAATTCACTATGAATCAACAACGATGGGATCTAGAGGAGACAGCGTGGAGGTAAATTTGATATTACGGCAGTTAAAAATATGGGAATAATTGCATTCTGTATATATCTTACAAATAGAAAAAAAAATTAGTTCTAATGTGGTAAAGAATAAGAAGTAAGAAATAAAACAGACTTGTCTCTTATTCTATTAATATGTTTATAGATGGATGACATAACATGACATAATTGATAAGAATTTTAGGGCGGGTGTCTCAACAGTGCCTTACAAAACTTGATTGATTAAGTATATTGTAGGGTTCCGTAGCAAAAGGGTAAAGCGATAACCTTTTAATGTAATATATTTGATATATATTTTATCAGTCCTACATAGCGTTAAATTAAAAAAAATACTGATACGAAATTTGGAATAGTTTCAGATATTGTATACCAAAAACTTTTTTTTTTCGATTGAGTGATTTTCTCAAAATCCAAAACTGTTTTTGTATTATTTATTACCATTATAGTTATTGATCGTTATGGAATAACTGTAATTACGAAAGTGTTATTTCCGAAGCTTCTGAAACACACCTTACGTAATCAAATTATCTCATATTTAATCAATTTATAACAAATAAAAGAAAAATATGATTTCATTTGTTCGGAACCTCAGTATACGAACCTAACTCTAGCTTCACCTCTTTTATTTATATTGTGTGATATGTTCTTATCACCACAGAGTTACAAGAAATATGTTATATTATGTAATGATGTTATTGTCATACATTTAATGTATCACAATCACAATAGACGTATACAGCGTACGTTAGCTGGATATTTGTAAAACAAGAAATCTTTTATTGAAGAGTTCGAATATGATATATTAATCATTTTGGCGCGAATTCATAATTTCGGGAAATGTAAAGTTACTGTTCACTGAATTAATTTTACACAAATTCTGTGCCCTTTGTACACTACCGATTCTAAAAACTGCTTTCCGCGCCAATCGAATACTACCTATTCTAAAAACTACTTAATTTTTACTAAGGCTCAATGTTGGTATAGTAGAAGAAAGAAAGACTTCTACTATATACCAATAAAGAACCTATCGCAATTTTTTTACATATAGAGAAAAGAGGCGGGGGATGGGGTTTAGACGTACTAGTTCATAATTTGTACGAACTTCACAAGGTCACTGGTGAATCACAACTGAACACGCAAAATTATTGAGTCATGCCGATGCTGTGACATTCAAACGTGGGCGAAATCGCAGTTGGCATTTATTTTTCTTTTTTTCAGCCAATTACAAAAGCAATGTTCCTTTCTTAATATTACGTAGACTATATGTTCACAAATTTGTAATCAGATTTGATGACATCCACAGTGTCGTCTCTCGAGTTCGTATTAAACTATTGTAGAATTACATCAAAGTTGTTTCAAACACATACCTACAAGGACATGCCTCGCCACTCTTCTTTAAATAATATGAACACACAAATAAATATCTCATCATCTTCTTCCTTATCCCATTTATTTGCGGTCGGCATAATATATTTTTGTCTACCATTCAACCCTGCTCGCAGTCATCTCGTTATTTACTCCCATTCTTACCAAATTATCTTTCACTCAGTCCATCAATCTCTTTTTCGGCCGTCTTTTCTCTGCTCTTATAACATTCATATGTAACACTTTCCTTAAAATAGAAATTTATCTTCATACAATTATATAATATTACAATTAATTTACTACTAGCTTTAAGTACAGTTTAAAAATATGTAAGTACTTTAATTTACCGATGTAGACTTTGTATAATATCCCATCAAAAACATAAATGTGAAATGATAGCCGAGTTTAATATTATGATATATGGATTGTTGGGTTTAGACAAAAGAGATGAGATCTAAATGGGTGCTCTGTCCTGAAATGTATTTATAACAATATAAAATATCATTTCTTCTTATAACTTAGGATAATATACTGTAGCCTAAGTTCTAACTTGGCCAGTTCTCATATACCAATTATTACTTTCGATTTCTAGTTACTACTAATATTAAAATAGGAACCGACAAGTAACATGTTTAGAACTTGCGAAGGCTACAGTATATTTCGTATATAAAAACTAGCCAAGTTAGACCTTAACAGTATATTATCGTTATAAGGAAATGATATTTTATATTGTTATAAATACATTTCAGGACAGACCATTGAACTTGCATTTAGACCTCATCTCTTTTTTCGTAGAAGTCAACAATCAAGGCATATATCATAATATTAAACTCGGCTATCATTTCACATTTATGTTTTTGATGGGATATCATTACTTTTTGTACATAAATTATACGAGGTACTTATTTATAACTAAATTAATACCAAATTATTTTTATAACTGTATTTTCGTATATTTACGGGGTATAATTGTCTTTTTTTTGTGTTATTTTCTATATTTTCTTGTAACTTTTAAATGTTCAAGTGCAATGCCAATTCAGTATCAGGAATTTTTGGGCAAATCGGGGCGGTATAACGTCCACAGATGGTTGTACTCTACAATAGAGCTCTCTTTACTTGGATCTAAATTGTTAAGACGTACTCCATCTAAGGTTTTAACTCTGGAGAGTCCAACGTAAACCTGCCCTTTATTAAATATAGAGGAGCCTATGTTGAGAAGAGGACTGCCAAAACTAAGGCCTTGTGATTTGTGAATAGTAATAGCATATGTTAGGCAAATACGGAATTGTTCTCTTTCAACATATACATTATTTAATATCTGAAACTTCGTATTGACACGTTATAGTTCATAAAGACGATTATGTAACAAATTGACTGTTATCTATTGAATTCTCAAGAAAACAATTTGTTACCTATGAGTTCTCATTCTCGAGTTAACTATACATTCCTACTTATAACTATACTAAAATTGTTATTAATTTTTGGTTTAAACTACACATTTACTAAAATAATGTAATAATAATATATAAGTATAATTTAAGAAAGCTATGAATTTCGTAGCATAAATCGCAACCTTATAGGTTAGATATCGAGAAACAAAACATTGAGTTTTATCGCACCGCTCCCACACGGCGCCCTATACCGAAATGCCTATTATTTAATAATTATTTATAAAAATAATGATTTTACCTATCGATGTGCGCTAAATATTGAAACAATAATTAATACCAAATCTCAGTTAATAACATAATAAATACGAAATTCGACTATACTCCTAGTTATAAGTACGAGTATATTTTAGACAGAATCTAAATTATAGCAACTAGTGTTTACCGCTCAATGCAATATTTGAAGTTTGCTAGTTATCGACACTGATGTGAAGGGGTCAACGTAAATTGGTAATGATCGACGTTTTCATACAATATTACTTTTTACAAGATGAGATATTTCGCCAGGGATCAATGTCAATTGGTCGCTATCGACGTTTTCATAGAATTTTAGTATAAATCCAGTATAAGTTGAAATAGAATCAATTAAAGTGAAAAATTGTAGTAAAATGATAACAATTTACCAGTTCCATTTTTTCCTTTATATTCACCTAATTGTTGTTACCTATCTGCATGCCAAATTTGAACTTCCTTCATCTGGAAGTGGGTTATAATTTTGATCATAGTTGATCATATAAAAATGACGATTTTTGGACATTAATATTAAATAACCGTTTGAGATATGTTTATGAAATTTGGAACACATATTTATCTCGCAAGTCTCAATATATGAACCAAATTTGACAGGTTTGTGTGAAAGAGTTTTTGAGTTATGAGGAAGTCAAAAGTGGCTCCAAATTGTTCGTGTAAATATACACACGGTGCTGCTTGCCAGTTTACTTGAAACTCGGCTTGACACGCTACCGCGTATCTAGATCATCTGCGTGCTTGGTCTTTGTGAGTTATGGCAGTGAAATGTTATAGGGTGGGTACACAGATAATATCTTGTGCCACAGGCGACACATAATGACGTCTTGTTCCTGGCGTTCCTTCATGTCTATGTACGATGGTAACTACTTTCCGTCGCATGGCAGACAGCTCGTTAGACATTCCATTAAAAAAAATGTTAATTGTCGACAGATGCTGCAATCCTTATTTAGCACGTGCACACAGATGTCTGTATCAGGATTATGATATAAGTGGTGGACCTGTGAGCAGCAATGGAGATGTCACAACAGGGCGGAGCGGAGGCTGAGAGCCTCTTGCGCCCGGACCACAAGAATGCTGTCCTTATGCCGCATGGGCACCGAGGTAAGGAACTTAAATTAATCGTTATTGTAAATATCTACATAAGCAGTTATTTCGTAGTGCGACACTGGAAATATGAATAATTATGTATTGGATATGTTAGCATATGAAATCTCTTTTATTATCAATAAAAAATAAAGAATATTATCAACTATCTGCCCACAAGGTCAAGGTTCTGTCTGCTAAAACAATGGAAAAATGTATTAAAGCGATAATATTTATAAAAGATGCGTTGTGAATATCACATCGTTTATAGAAATTTAATACATTTACAAAATAAAAAAAGAAATTAGTAAGGTGAGTAGTGAATACGCACTTTAATTACAGAAGAAATTTGGAATGTATCTAAATAATTTTATACCAGTTTTATTATAAAACTTCGTCTACACAACGCAATGATAATATAAAACAAAGATTATCCCTGATAGACTCAAAAATATACATCTAAATCTGTAACTTTAGAGGTGTAGCCAATAGCTGCGAAACAATGTTAATCTAATGCAATTTGGTCTCCCTTGATATAAAATAGTTTTTTTATCGATATTATAGTTTCCCATCGTTATTAATAGTTTGAAAATAATAATTTATAACTACTTCAAAAATTAGGTAGGCAACCGTTTTCCGTCGCCTTCAGTCGAACCATAAGCCCTTATGCGGGTTTAGATCGCATTTGCCCCCATTTTCTTCCGGAGAAACTGTAACGGCCAACTGCGGCCAATAGCATTAGAAGAGTTCGAAAAAGGAGTACACATCCACAATACGATTATATCTTTTTGTGTACGTTATCTTTGCCCCAAAATAAAAGCGATTTTGATGCTTCTTTCTGCAATCAACAGAATATATTGCCGTGTAAATGGAATATAAATATTATCACGATTAGTATTTGTGATGTGAAATGTTGGTATAAAAATAAGAAAGGGTATGTTACATTGGTTCAGGCATGTGGAAAGGACGTCTCATGAAAGATAAATAATTAAGAAATAAGTCGCCAACATGCACGGGAGTACTCTGATTGTGTGCAAAGATGGACTCTATGAACTTGAAGAGAGAAATATTACATGCACATAATCAGCAAAAATGTTAGCACCGTTTATATGTCACAACTGACCACCATCCATGACCCTCTCTTTATATGCAACCAGGTAGTATGGAGAGCTCAGTCTCAAATTACACTAGTGTTCATCTGACCTGTATAAACGAAGTGTAACACAATTGACCATTTAATATGATCAGCGTGATGAATCATAGCAATAATAGACTATGTACCTATTTTGTTTGGTGTAATTGGAATCATAAAAAAACGGCTTATTGTCGTACGTATTGACAATGGAAAACTTAGTATGTAACAAAAAGTGTAATTTCTATTATTTTTACTTGAAAGTGATAATGTATTTTAGTTTTTATTATAATGTTAGCTGACCCATGCAATTTCTGCTTCAAATTTCTCCGTTCTTGCATTGCAGTTTAGCTCCTGTTGACCTATGTTATATACCCTATGGTCTTCAAAATCGAATGAGTAGTATAGTATCTCGAACATTTAAAACTCTACCTCTTTATGATATTAGTATACATGGATTATTTGACGATTGATGTTAGTTGTCAGAATCGTTTTGAAATCGAATCATAACTCAATATTTACTAGTATTTCTTATAATATATTACCTACTGCGAATACCGTACACATTGTATATTATAATGTTGCAAAAGCAAAACTGTGGCATCGTTACAGAATTTAGTGGTATATTATTGTCTCTTTGAGGTTGGAAATAAGGTATGCTTTCATGACAAACGTCCATGTTGTATAAATACTGAATAAACGTAGTATGCGTATATAGATAACGTAATCCTTGGGGAACGATAAATTTCAATTTATACCACGACTCCGAGTAGGTAGTTGTAGTACCTCATAATTTGGTATAACCACAGATAATACCATAGTGGTATCGCAATCAAACTCCTTACCTGGATTTCCTGTTATTTTTATTTGCTCTTCCAAGAATATGAATTCATGTTAATATTTACTATAAAAAATATTTAAAATTTTTACAGAATAGATTGTTTTTAAGAAAATTGCTTAAATTATTCGGGCGATTCTAGTTATACATTATTTTATTATAATTTATACACAAGTAATGTATCTGTTATATTCTATCATGCTTGTTTCCATACAATACAGTATTGTATATTGTAATTTAAAGGATACAAATCTTTTCAAAGTAGAATAAGTTGCTGTATCTTACCTAAACGTAATTTTATGCAGATTTATTATAAGCAAACTCTAACAAAAATGGAGCTTTTGTCTATTTCTTGCACTATTCAACTAATTAATCGTCCATATCAATCTGTCTATAAGTATTGATGCATGATAAATATCGAATGACAAACATCGATGTTCCCCTTGGCCTATCTGATTTCCTGTCATTTTGCATTTCGAATGTTCTTTCTTTTAGACCTCAAATATCTGGTTCTATGTGATGTTATTTTACGAATGACCTTTTATTGTCGATGAATCCGTAGACTTAACATCGATACGTTGATGTATTTGATAACATCAATTGATCAATTGATTGAATGAGATCGATTCTAAACTTTGATCAATGAATATCGAACTTCGCTACAGTAATGTGATTTTATGCCAATTTTTTCAAACTTTCAAAGTGTCCCTTTAAGGTACGAATCGTCAAATATCCGTGTTCCTGCAACATCTCCTGTATGAAAGGAATCTATATGTAATTTATGCTTTAAAGCTCCAGTAGTATCGACTCAGTAATGACAGACTATATGTTTACTACCGTGAGTTTACGATAGTAGAATGTAATTCCGGCGATGACGAGCGAGTCAGTCAGTGTCGTGACCTACCACTACATTATAATTTTAGTATATGGATGGGTACTATTTTATATAATGCAATATAGTATGAGATATTTTCAGTTCCATATATTCATTAGTAACAAAGAATAGCGACTTCGAACCGGTTTTTTCGGTTAAAAGATGTCCATACTAGGTCTTATCTTCATGTCAAATTTCATCGCGATAAGTTTAGCCCTATAGTTGTAAAACGGTAACAAACAAATTCTTTAGCATTACATTTACAATATTAGTATATACAATATAAATATAAAAAGACACATTAAAATGTTATGTTGTTCCAAAAAGTAAATCCTAGGTAAAAAATATCGTTTATTACCAGAAAAGCTAATGCAAACAATGCTTTATCTTAATTCAGATATTATGGCTAGTTAATAATAAAGAAAAGATAAAAAATACATACACAATGTTTCCTTCACAATTAAAGTTTAGAGATAAACAAGTAAGGAAGTCATTACTGCGGTATGCAGTGCAATAATATCTCTTTTAGATATGGTTTTGTTCATCATTCCTTTGTTTTACATCTACTTACACATTATCACGTTTGAAAATATGTATTTGGCATATAAACGTAAAGTACTGGTTATAGAAAATCTAAGACTAGGTTCCGAGTTTTTATATTCCACCAATAGTCAGATAGATATTTATGTTTGAAATGGAGTATCCACGAATCACGCAGTAGGTATCAAAAATGATTCAACCATAATATATATAAAAGTTAATATTTTATATTTCATTCTAATTTGAAATACACTGGTTAGAATATCATATTGTCAATAATATCATTAAGTTCAATGTTTCCTCTATTTGTTTGAAGAGAATGATGATTTTGAGGTACGGATAGTGGTGTGTGCGGACGGCTAGGTACTTTAGCATAAATGTGGACTGATGATGTGGAAAGTTCATCTTAAACTTGACTAGAATAAACTAATGTGGATTAATATGTACACATGACATATGCAGTGATTGAGTAGGCGGTAAACCTACAATTCGTTCGACTTTGGTAAACACCAAAACTTTGTTTGTTTAACAAATTCGCCGTAAATGTTAAATATACAGAGATGGTATAAGTACGATTAAACGCTATCAAAGTGTATTGAAACAAGATCGACGGAACGTATGGAGTTTGTTTATTGCATTGGTAACAGTTGGCAAACACCTGCCGGTGCCTATCTTATAATAGTAGTAATATTTTTTTTATAGAAATTTGGTTCCTGTTTTGAATTTGGTTGTTTGGAATCGGACTTCAAAATGCAAGGAAGTCGTTGTGGTTAAACTCGGTTTGGGTTACTTTGATTTCTAACAAAAAAATCCAGATCAGAAGCTAATATCCGATGACAAACTGGAAGTTAGCAGCAAACTACTAATATTTTTATTTTAAGCTTATGTTTAGATTAGTTCTTGTACATCTACACATAAGATAGGAATACATCCATACGTCTATGGTTAGCAAATGAATAATAATGAATGAATTAAATACCAGAACGTGTTACTTGTCGATATTTAATACTCCCGTGACAGGAATAGAAATTGAATTCTTGATGCCACATTATAAGTTTATCACTTATTAGTTGTTACCACTTATGACGTATTAGTTGGTACCTGACTCATCCTCATACTAGTTTACAATCTTCCATTAATATCCAGTCTACGTTTTAGTCCCGTATATTTGTTAATGTAATATCTCAATTTAGAATTGATATTTATTTAATAAATATTTTGTTTAAAGAGTTACAATTTGTTATAAATAAATAGTCTGACTATAACGGCAACATAAGTAATCTATCGTTTATTTTATCGTTAACTGTATATGTACATAGCGAATGATTTATCAGCGCTTGTAAATGAGCAGATGTTATTGAATCGAGCGATGCATCATTGTATTCTATCGTTTGTATCGCAATTACAACTTAGGTTTATTATGTTGTATATATAGTATACAAAATACATTATTGTATTATGCAAATGCTATGAAGTTATACATGATCAAAATGAATTGGTAAACGTGAATCATGTCGGTTTTGAAATACAACATAGCTCCATTAATTCAGTATGGGATGTTTTTGATGGATACTTAATTTCATGATGGACTATTTGGCAGTCCAAATTGTCAATAACATCGACATAAGGATTGT